CAAGTAGTTCTAGAGATAAGGGCCTTTGTTTGTTTACAAGCTGGCGGCAAAAATAGCTGGCACAGACGCCGGCAGCGACGCCAGCAGCGCCGCTTGCGTCGCTGACTAACTGAATGTTATGCAAAAAAAAACACTTCAAAGTGTAAAAGTTATTGGCAAATGCAATGTGTGTGTATGTGTGTGTATGTGTGTGTGTGTTAGTGTGTGTGCGTGTTCGCGAAAATATGCCATTAATTTACCTGTCTATAGGTGGGCTAATCACAGTGGCTCCTCCAAATGACAGAAGCACAGGTAACCAAAAATGTCGTTATCTGTTTTTTTTTTCTTTCAAACTGCGCCCTTTTCTCGAATTTCGTTGAGTTGTTGCTGTTGTTGTTGTTGTTGCTGTTGTTGTTGTTGTTGTTGGGTTCGTTGTGTTGTTCTTTTGAACGTATTTCGGTTTTTATTTATATTTGATGTTGCACCGGCAAACACACACAAACAAACACTTGCGGTTGGGTGTGACTAATCCTGTTGCCGTTTCGCTGGACTCGTGCTTTTTGGGCTTATGTTCTTTAAGCTCGTACGGCAAATAAATCAAAAGTTATATATGTGTATGTGTGTGTGTGTGTGGAATATGTACAATAACAACCGAAACAAAAAAAAAATGAAAACAATTCTGTGCTGTGCTTCGTTGTTGTTGTTGGTAAGGCTGCTGCTGCTGCTGCTGCTTCTTCTTGGGAGTTGAGTTTCGTTTTTAAAACCGAGCGTCGGCACGTTGCAATCGATCGAGCACCAAAATCAGACTGAAGTTCGCCCATTCAGAATCAAAGCCGCGTAAAGTGGACGGCCAACCGGCCGAAGCTTAGACAGCAGCCGCAGCAGCGCAGCTGATGACGACAGCGCGCCGCGCAGTCAGCAGCAGAGATATGACCGAATACGACAACAACACAGCGAAGATGACAGCGACAGCGACGTCGTCGTCGTCGTCGATCGAGGGCTATATGTGTGCGTGCGTGCGTGCGTGCGTGTGTGTGCGCTGCTGCCTCGGCTTGCACGCGTATGCGTGTGAGTTGCCCCCGCTATCAGTGCAGCGGCCGCTGTCAGCTGCGCTGCCTTTTTATGTGCGCAAAGTAACACATGAAAAACAAAGCAAAACAAAACAAAAACAGCGGCTTAGAGTGAGGCTGCGAAAACAACAACAACAAGACGAGCAGCAAAAGCTCTTGACTTTGCGCAGCCAAAGACAACGGCAACAACAACAGTTTGTAACGGCGATTTTCGTGCTGTTGTTCTCTAGGACCACATCGACTACCCTATAAAGAATATGCACCTAGTCCAAATTGGAATTTGTTTTTGCACAGGCTATGACTAATTGGAGCTTAGTGTGAGAATGACTCGCTGTAAGTAGAGTAGCTTTTGTTTTTTCGTTTTTTTTTTTTTTTTTGCCTCATTTGAGGTTAGGTTCGTGAGGCAGTTCCTGTTTCAAATTACGATTTATTGAAAAGTTGATTTCCGATATCTTTGTTAATGTTTAAGAAACTATGTTTATATTGACTTTATAGGTACATGTGTACAATGGTAATCGATTTGTTTAAGGCGTTGTTATAGCCGTAATAAACATAGCTTGTGTCTGTGTTTATAGAAGAATACTGTGAAATCGAAACGCTCAAATTATAGGTTATGAATTCAATTACCAATAAATGGAAAGATCTACATTGAATTGTTGAAATCTATTTATATCGTGTTTTTTATGATCAACCATTTTGAATGTCAGCAATTGCTTGAAATAAGCATATATATATATTAATAAATATATTTTTATATATAAACCGAAGACAATATTTTACTTGACTTGTTAAAAAATATTCCATATATATTATTTGTAATGCACCATTTTTCATTTTAAACGAAAAACTGATTCATTTTTTGGGGAAAGCGTCCCTCATTTCATTTTCTAACGTTATTTAATTATTTTGAGCGCTTCTTCTTGACTATGGTTAGGGTATTTCAAGTTCGACCAGCTGGAAAGCGCAAAAGACGCCAATTTTCAACTAAGCTCCACTTACAACGAACTTATTGATATCTTATTGATTTCAGCCTAGAGCTACCTCCTGTTCTTTACATTGGTTAGGGTACACAAAGTGCGACAAGTGCGCGCATATATAGTTTCAACCGATTACAGTTCAGTTTTGGCTAATGATGCGACGACTGTTGTGGCAAATTTGCATAAGGTAGGCAACTCCATAATGATATTGCCAGTGGGATTTGGCTAATCGATCGTGCAAAAATGGGAAAACTTGAAAGTGCCCAACAACAACAACAACAAGAACAACAGCAATGGACGTGTCCAAGTGCACGGCCGAATCGTAGCGCCAGGCAAATATCTATGTGTATACGTATTATATTTAATAAATATATATATATTTTAAAATGTATGTAAATCAGTGGAATGGCATTCGTGTATCGTTCATGTTTGGGTGGGTGTCATTGTTGCAGTTGCCAATTCGTAAGCTTTTGTAAACAGCACGATTCAAAAGACGCCCCCACGCGACAAAAAGCCAAAGCTCAGAAGCAGCAAAAAGAGAACAAAAAAAAAATTAGTCATGCAGACGCTGAGCAGACGTCGTGGCTAGACGGCAGCCGATAAACGATAAACGATTAACGATAGACAATGGCCATTTGCCGATAGACGGCAACGTGACCAGTTCGGCAACGTTTGATGGAGTTTCTGTTCACTTGCTGCGACTGCATTTGGCCAATGGCCATGTGGATTCTGGTCCGAGCTGGTGGCAACTGTTACAGACAGACAGACAGAGAGACAGAGAGACAGACATATGGCCATAGCGGGTGTCTCTGTGCCAATTGTGGCTCAGGTTTATTGATTTATTTTGCAGTTAGCGTCAACGTCAACGTCAGCGCCGCTGCCCACGCGACACTGGCTTCAAATCATGGCCGAGAGATTGGCGCAATTGTAAAGCGGCCAACGCGCAAAAGCCTTAAAAACGCACACACTGAAAACAAGAAAGAGTGCTTAGTTCGTCGTGCACGACCAGCAGATACCCTGCAGTCAGGCTCGAGTTGCTTTAGATGCCAGCCTGCCAATATGCCCAATGTGGTTACAGGGTATAAAGAAAAAAAGCCATGGCCAATCGGCAATGTAGCCTAAACTATACGAGCTACGAGCAGAACGCCAGCGACAGCTGTGGCGTCATCGCCGCGTTCCAAGGAGCTGTGCCCAACTGGATTCGCCGCGGCGGTCAGGCGAGTTCAGATGCTGCTCGAAATTGATGCATAGCGCATGAGTCATCCAGCCGCAGCGCAGCCACTTTATCAGGCGCCCCAATTGGCCACTCTCGTAAGACAGAGATAGCGAGAGAGCGAGACGGAGCGCGGCTCAGACGCAGTCGACGCAGCGCCGCTGTCGCTGTCGCCGACGCAGTCGCTGTCGCTGTTTGCGTCTGCTTCTGCGTCTGCGTGGGCTGATTAACGTCTGCTGCTATTTTTGTACAATTTTCGTATTTATTATTATTATTAATATAGATGTTTTTCTATTGTCGCCGCTCGTAGATCATTTTGGCCAAGTTAAGAGACATCGTCATCGTTTTTCCATTGATTTTTTTGTTTAACGACATTTTAACGATAATTGCGCGCCGTCTAAGCCAGCTCAGAGCACAGCCCACACAGCGGAGCCGGCCAGGCCAACCCCATAAATGACCCAATTTGGTCAGGTTGAACTGGGTTGAGCTGGGCTCTGGTCTGTGTGTGAATCTCCACAGCTTGTTCTCGAATATCTCCTCTCTCTCCCCCTCTCTCTCTCTCTCTCTCTCTCTCTTCCACTCCATGTCTGCCTACTTTAAAGGCAATGCCTGACGCATCCAGCAACGACGGAGAGGCAATGAACTTGCAACAGGTGGCTGAGTGGTTAGGTGAGCCAACAGCTAGACAGAGGAGCACAGGCAGGCAACTGGGAGAGGGAGATGAAGATGAAAATGAAGAGGAGCACAGCTGAGCTGAGAATTATCCAGCATATGAGTACATCAAATAAAAAATAATGGCAAAAACTAGAGCAAAGCCTCTGCAAAATTCAAATTAAAGGGTATACAGTGATCCCTCGCTAATTGCAGCATTCAGAAACTTTCAGAAGCTGCTTGCTACACAACGCAAGCTAGTTATTACTGCTGACAGCTACAATACTCAAGCGTACTCTATGTAAGGCAAGGCAAATTTGAGATATGTCATAAAATTCCATTCCTGAAAACAACTTGAGGTATGCTAAGCAAAAGCTGTTTGATACATAACTCAAATATAGGAACTCACTCGCATCTATAGATTCAACTTTTGTCAGGCATAGCAAAAGCTGAATAGTATAAGACACAAATGCAAATCTTCTGTAGGCAGTGCATAGCAAAAGCTGGTTGATTTAAAACTCAAAAATTTTTGCTAAGATACGATAGCCAAAAGGACTTACACTCTCTTCTAAACTAAATTAAACGAGGCCGAACAAAGGCTGATTGATATACGACACAATTAAGGAGCTTATTGATGCAAAACTTTTCGGCATAAAACTCGAGTGAAAGTCAAGGATACTTAGAATGAGGAAGAGATTAAGAGATTTCGGAGCAGGGAGCTACAATACTTATTGAAGGCATCTACAGACAAGAAGCTGTTTGGTGCAACACTCAAAAGCTAACTGTCATTTGAATGTATAAATATGAATTGAAACGGATAAGAGAGACAAGCTGGACGCTGAAGGAGTTACCAGCAGGAACAGGCACCGAAAGCTGATTGGTATACAACTCACATGTAAGCTGATTGGTACGAAACTCACGTGAGAGCTGACATACTCTACAAAAGCGAGTGAGATGCGAATACCAAGACAATATAAATGATGAAATATGCTTATTTAAGTTTTATGCTAAATATGTACTCTTTAAGTCACATGAGATCTCAGTTAAATATATCCAAGTTAAATATATATCATGCAAAGCATGTAATACTTGTACTTTCACAGCGCTTACCATTTTCCTCAGCAACTCCTCGTTTTGTATGGCACCCAAATCGCATTCCAGTTCCATGGCAATAACAGTTGCAACGTTCGGTGGCGACTCCTGCACAAAAAAAAACATACAAAAATAAATAAAAATCAAAAAGAAAAAGAATAAGAAAAACCGATTCATATGCACAATAAGTAAGTTAAATGAAAATGTCAGTTGAAGGCGGCCGTTGGCTGCCTTCCGATGATGCAATTCACTTTATCATACCTCGTACATATAACATGCTTGGGGTATATTAAACTTGAAACAAGATCAAGAATGGCTTTACAAATTATGAGCCAAAATAAAAAGAAGTACAGGATATTTGCTAGTCGATCATAAGCAATAAGCGGTTACTCCTACTCCAAATAAGCAATGCACAGGGTATTTGCTAGTCGATCAATAGCACCAAGCACCTAATGCTGTTCAAAAAAAAGAAGCACAGGGTATTTGCTAGTATATCATTAGCAATAAACGTCTAACTGCTACTTGTTGCTTTAAAATAGGAAGCACACGGTATCTACTAGCCGATCATTAACAATATGTGCCTTATTGCTCAATAAAAAAGCACAGGGTATTAAGAAGTATATCATAAGCAATAAACACCTGCTTCTACTTGTTGCACTAAAAGAGAAAAACCATGGGGTATTTGTCAGTCGTTCACTACTGCTACTTGTTGCTCTAAGAAAACACAGGGCATCTGCTAGTCTATCATTAGCAGCACGTGTCTACTGCTTCTTGTTGCTTTTAAAAGAGAAGAAGCACAGGATATCTGCTAGTCGCTCATCATTGCTGTGCAATAAGAAAACACGGGGTATTTGTTAGTCTATGATAAGCAACAAGTTTCTACCGCTACCTGTTGCTTTGAAAAAAGACGTAGGGTATCTGGAGCTCTATCATTAGCGATAAGCGCCTACTTTCATTTGTGGCCCTAAAAGAGAAGAAGCACAGGGTATCTGCAATTCTATATTAGCAAAAGGAACCTGCTGCTATTTGTTGCTTTAACAAAATTACGGGGTATCTGGTAGTCTATCATTAGCGATAAGCGGGTACTGGTATTTGCTGCTTTAAAAGATAAAAAGCTCAGGATATCTGCTAGTCAATCATCCTTTCTTTCTAAAAACTATCACAGGGTATCTGGTAGTCTATCATTCGCGATAAGCGCCTGCTGCTACTTGTTGCCACTAAAAATGCGAATGCATTTTTCATTTTGATTCATTTGTTGTTGTTGTTGTTGTCGTTGTCGTTGTTGCGGTTTCTCAAGTGTACGTACATAGATTCGTTAATATTATTTTCAATTTATCATGATTTCTGTGTATATGTGTGTGTGTGTGTGTGTGTGTGTGTGTTTTATTGCACTCCAGCACGACGACGAGGCGAACCAGATCCCCACCAAAGCCAAGTCCCCAAGTGCCCCAAGTCTCCCAAACAAGTTGTGACATTTCCCCCGTAAATGGTTAAAATGAAACATGGCAAATGTTGTTGTTGTTGTTGTTGTTGTTGTTGTTGTTGTTGTTGTTGTTGCTGCTGTTGTTGTTGCTGCTGCTGCTCATTGGGTTGGCAGTTGTGATTGTCGTTGATGCGGCCGCCAGCGTCGCATTTGGGTTTCAGTTTTGGTTAAGATCAAAACACGATGTTCGGTCAGACGGCAATTGGAATCCACAGCACGTTCTCAGCGCAAGGTGAGGGGACTCTCAAGGGGGCGGGGCGGAGCGGGCTGGTGTGTTGCAGCGGCCGGGGCGTGGCGCTGTGAGGCAGCTGGCCGTCCGCTCGGCCAAAAGCCAAACAAGTTCAAAACCACAATTGGGCAAATAGGCTGACGACAGTCAGTCAGTCAGTCAGTCAGTCAGTCAGTCAGTCAGTCAGTCAGTCAGTCATTGAGTTGGTCAATCAGTCAATCAGTCGCCTTATCCAGCAGCGGGGTCAGCCGCCGAAAAGCCGGAGTCGAACTGAACTTGAAGCTGAAGGTGCACGAGAAGAAAACCCTTAAAGAGAACTGAGGGTCAAGGGTAGATTATATATATATATATATATATATATAAAGAACTAAGAGTATGGAAACAAGCATGCCCGACTGGGAGATATGCTGCACTCAAAGCCAGGCTGCTTTCACAATTGATATAGGAAAACTGTTCTCAGGTAACTTCGGTGCTTATTGTCCGATCTTGATGAAATTGTCAGGGCTTAAATATGACAGACAAAATGTTGGGCATACCAAAGCGCAAGGGTCTAGCTTGAGTAATTCTCAAGAAAATAGAGGTATAAACTACAACCTATAACCCCTAAACAACATACCAGATTTTGTGTATTCGAGCTTTGCTAAGGAAACCAAGTCTAAAATCGATATTTATCGATAATGCAAAGAAGACATCACATATATATATAAATATATATGTATATATATGTATAAAATATATACTCTGGTATGGATATAATCTCTAGCTTTTGTTGTTTTCATGATAGAATCAGCTCGTTATCCCGATCAAGAATGCATATAGTGTCATTTTACTGGAAAATTTACTCTAGATTTGGTCTATATATCATTATGATATTATGAGATTGGGTGACCCATTTTGAAAAGAATAATTCACAATAAGTAATAAAAGTTATACGAAATAATTAATTAAAAATTTGATTAAACATTTGCTATTATATTAAGCATTAAGCTATGCTTAAATGTGATCGTATGAGCATATATTTTGTGATACTGAACGATAGAGACGTTTTTATAGCTTTTGACCAAGCACAATTGCCGCAAAAGGTTACAGAGGGTCTACCCTAGTCACCATTTGTGGAACAAGTCACAATCATGCCCTAAAAGAGCCAGACAAACAGCTCTCATTTAAAGCCCTTAATGCCATATAACGTTAGATAAACAAACTATCTGCATAATTATAGCCAATTTAGCTGCGCCACAATTCAGTTGAGCTCGTCTCCAAAGCTCATAAGTCAGCGATTTACATGTGTTGCTTAATTTGTAATCTTTCAATTTGACGGATCAATGGAATTATCGCGTGTCTGTGTGAGAATCGCGTAGGTAGGCGCGTGGCCAATGCCCCGCGACTGAAACGATTAACGATAAACGATAAATGACAAGCGCTGTGGCGGGCGCTCGTAAATTTTCGAATGCCCGAAATTGTGAACGCAAACAACAAAATATGGCAATGCGCTTAATTCGTATTGAAATCCAATTTGATTTAAATTAGTTATGTTCCCCCCCCCCACCTTTTTATTACTTTTGCTGCGCTTTTAGATTTGATTTATGCGTAGCGACAATTCGGACGCCCACAATGCGAGCGAAAGAGATGGCAAGAGCGCGACTGAGCTGCCGCTGTGTCAGGCGATATATTCAATGGCTGATTGATTGATTCATTTGCCGCTAGATGGCGCCTAGGAGCCAACAGGAAAACCGCAAAACGCTTAGAACATGTTCGAACTTAATTTGCATGCAAATGTGTGCGTGTGTGGATGCTATTGTCCGTGTGTGTGTGTACATGTGTGTGTGCTGGCAATCTTACCTGCTGCTGCTTATCAGAGACGTCGACAGCGTCGCGGCTTTTGTAACTGGAGACAAGCACAAGTTGAAGACAAACAGCAACAACAATTTAAATAAATACAAGTATATTAAAAAAAAAAAAGATGGAATTAATGCAAAACAAACACACACACACGCACGTTCAGCGAAAAGCTCTAGGTAATTACTGTAATTGTATTTGTTAAAGTTCTACACGGAAAGAGCTTAGGTTACGTGAATTAAGCAAAAACGATCGCGAGCTTGTTTCAGGGCGAAAGGGGGGCGCGGACGGCGTCGGCAAGAGAGGGGAGGGCGCACTTTTGATTGACTTGCGGTTGCAACAAATAACTGTTTGATGTTCTGCTTCTTCTTGTTATTATTGTTGCCGGCACACGCGAATGAAAAAGTTGTGAACGAAAAGACGAGAACAAAAAAAAACAAAAGGAGCTGCCAGAAAAATGCACGTAAAAAATAGAAAACAAAATGTTGCTAAGCAAAGTTGATTATTTTGCTGCAATTGTTTAAAGTTCGCTGTTGTTGTTGCTGCTGCTGTTGTTGTTGCTGCTGCTGTTGTTGTAACTGTTGTTGTAACTGTTTATGTTAAGTGTGTGAAAAATGCGCACAACCGTTTGGCACGAGCGGAGGCTCTTAACTGATTGTGCAAACTGCAATTGTTGCTGCATTTAGGCTCGTCGCCGAGCAGAGAGATAGGCGCCAGCAGCAGCAGCAGCAGCCGCAGCAGCAGCAGCAGCAACAACAGGCTGAAGGGGCTGAGGAGCTGTGGGCAGCGGTCAACTCCACACAGTCCCAGTCCGGATGTGGTTCGCCTCGTCGCAAATGTCGCTGCGCTGTGCGTGTGCGTGCGTGCGTGCGCGCGTGCGCGCGTGTGCGTGCGTGCGTGTGTGTGCATGCTGTCGCAAGGAATAAAAACAACAACAACAACAACAGCACTGCACAAATCAGACATAACCTTCAATGCAATGACAACAATTGAACTCAACTTCAATTTAGGCGCTGCTCCGCAAGGACTTTTATTGTTCGCCCTTTTCGCATGCATAATTTATTAAATATACAAATAAATAGTTAATTACGTTTACTTAATTGTTTTTAAAAAGTACCCCTATTTATTTTCCCACCCCCAGAACTCAATTCATGTAAAAATTGTTTGCCCAAATATCCTCTAAATAGACATACATAGGTCTAAATTTCCCACCCACAATAACGCGGTCAAATGTTATCCGATTTTCACAAAGTTTGGTTTGTTGGGAAGGATTTCCCTCAAATATCCCAAATGGACATAGGTCAAAATTTCCCACCCCCACAACTCGGTCAAATCTCATCCGATTTTCACGAGATTTGTTCATGGTTTGGTTTCTTGGTCAATAAATCATCTAAATCCGGCAACATTATTGTACCCTAAAGTATCCTATATGGACATAGGCCAAAACTTTCCAAAATTTCCCTGCAAATAAAATATATATAGGCCACATCTGCAGACCGAGAGACTAGCTGCAAAATTGACAGAGGGACAGACATATAGACTCTGCTGGATCAGGAGTAT